CATCCAGAATCTAGAAAGCAAGTTTGTTTTTGCTTCAGGAGTGAGCTACCCTATCCATTCACTTACTGATTGAGCTGTGTCAGAAAAGAGAAATTCAGAAATCAGCCCATCCAAATATTCCTTCTTCACATATAAGAACATCCATCCATCCATCCATCCATCCATCCATCCATCTATCTGCTACCCCATCTATCCATCTCTCATCTCACCCACATATTCATATAATAACTTACTGAGCACCTGCCATTTACCCAATACTGTCTTAGATTCTTGAGATTCATACTTCTACAAAACATCAGTTAGAGTAAAGGTGGATGTGCAGTTGGTTGAAACTCTATGTGAGGATGGTTTTCATAAAGATTTTTATGTATTCACGATGATTTGAATTTTAGCATACATGTCTAAATACTACTGTGTGATGGTTGCTATGCAGCCCAATAGCTAACCTTCACTTAACATTTTAGGACATACTTCACCATCAACTCAATGAAGGCAAAATGCTACCATACATGGTAGCATAGAAACTTCTTTTCTATTTTTTTTCCCACTGCTGTCCCTTTGCACTTGCATTTGCCTCTACCAATAGCTTACCTTGCTCAGTTGTCTACCTAGCAAATGTCAGTGTGTCATTCAAAATTCTGCCCTATGTCATTTTTTCTGAGTACGCTTAGCATCTATCCACAAATTGATTCTTCTTTCTGCTGTGTGATTTCTACACTTAAGTATGTACTTTACTATCACACTGGCATAAAAACTCATTAACCTAGCACTCATTATTTCTACTCTGCAAACTTCTGGGGATAGAATCATTTGTTTCTTCATATTTGCTTTCTTATTAATTATCAGCATGTTCAGCATGTACACACATTTACTCAATTTTGGCCAAATAAGAGCCATTTCCTCCTCAGCAACTCATGGAATGTTACAGAATTAAATGTAACATTAAAACTTTTGAATATTTAATAAGCACTATATTTTGCTTTATTAAACTATTTTCTAATGAGGAAAACTACTATCTCTATAAAAGCCTAACAAAATTCCATATGAACACACTTTCCTTTCTAAAAAGAACTGTTGTTCACTCCCCACTACCCTGACTTTGTGTTACCATCAGAGTATTATAGAGTTATCATATTGTGTCATAAATGCTTTTTCACATGTCAGAGTCTCTCCCAGATGACAGCCACATGCTGGTCATCTTTGCATGCTACCTGAAATTACTAGGAAAGGGAGGTGTGCAACAAATACTTGTTAAGGACATAAGGAGAGGACAGAATAGGAGATGGTGAGCAGACTTAAAGGCTTGGTTCTCTTCCCATTAGGAACTGCGTTGTGATTTTCTTAAAAGAAGGAAATTTGATGAATTCAAAATAAGATTTTGACTTTGATGTTTAGATTATATAGATATTGTACATTACTAAAATGAGTGAGAAAGGAAAAAATGTTTAAAGAGAATTTTTTTGTCTTTTAAAGAAATCCTTTCTAGTTTTGAAAGAGGATACATCGCACAGGGTCAGAAAAAAAGTAATGAGGCTCTTTATCATTGAAAAGAAATAGATTTGTAACCACTTGAATCCAGTCACCTGTAAACACACACACACACACACACACACACACATACACAATTAAAACCCTAAAACACTGTAAGTGGGAGGAGGAGGGAAGAGAGGAACTGCATTATACTGGAAGTATAAGTATATTCCAAGAACACTATATGCATGTACAGAATTATCACAATAAATCTACTTTTTTTTTTTTTTTTTAATTTAATTTTATTTTATTTGTGAACATACTGTACAGAGGAGTTACAGTTACATGGGCAGGATAATGTGTACATTTCTTACCAAGCATTGCAGCCTCCTCCTTTGTTTATCCTTCACATCCCTTCCCAGCCTCCCCCCTCCCCCCCTAATCCCAATCCTTCTCCTTCCTCCCTCCCCCCAGCCCCCCCCCCCCCACCAACATTGTAAAGTTCGTTTTGGACATGACAACTTGTACTTCTCATTGTTGCAACAGGTCCACCTGTATCCTTAAACAACTGGTTTTTCCCCATCTCCTCCACAAGTTATACTGACATCAAATATAGTGAAAGCAAGGGTTATACTGTGGGGGAGGGACATACAAAGAAACAAAGAGATAATCTTATAAATGTGTTAGAAACACATGCATGAAAGAAAAAAACATTAAAATACACACCTAAGGGTTCATTTTCCTGACATCACATTATCTGACCTTTTCCGCTTGACTCATACATATACTAGATATTACAAATAAGGGAAACCATGGGACCTACGTTTCTTTGGGCCTGGCTTACTTCACTTAATATAATTTTTTCCAAGTTTTTCCATTTCCTAACAAATGGGGCAATGTCATTCTTTCTGATGGAGGCATAGAATTCCATTGTGTATATATACCACATTTTCTTGATCCATTCATCTACTGAGGGGCATCTGGGTTGGTTCCATATCTTAGCTATGGTAAATAATGCTGCAATAAACATAGTTGTGCTGGTAGCTTTAGTGTGGTCTAGTAATCAAAACAGCTTGGTATTGGCATAAGAACAGACCTCAGGACCAATGGAATAGAATTGAAAACCCAGAAATGAACCCACAGACCTATAGCCATCTAATCTTCGATAAGGGAGCTAAAACAATAGAATGGAAGAAAGACAACCTCTTCAGTAAATGGTGCTGGCAAAATTGGTTAACTACATGTAGAAAACTTAAGCTAGATCCTTATATATCACCCTGCACCAGAATCAACTCCAAATGGATCAAAGACCTTGAACTCAAAGCAGACACTCTGAAAACATTACAGGATGGAATAGGAGAAACCCTAGGTCTCCTTGGCTCAGGCCGAAATTTTCTGAATAGAGACCTGGAAACACAACAAATCAAAGAAAGGTTGGACAAATGGGATTGCATAAAGTTGCAGAGCTTCTGCAGGGCAAATGACATAGCTAGCAAGATCAATAGAAAGCCCACGGATTGGGAGAAGATCTTTACTAGCCATAAAACGGACAAGGGTCTCATATCTAAAATATACTTGGAACTCAAAAAATTAAACCCCCCAACAACAAATCCTCAAAGAAACAACTGCCCAATAAATAAGTGGGCGAAAGACTTAAAGAGAAACTTCTCTGAAGAAGAAAGAAGGATGGCCAATAGACACATGAAGAAATGTTCAACATCCCTAGCCATAAAAGAAATGCAAATCAAAACAACATTGAGATATCACCTCACTCCAGTGAGAACGGCAAAAATCAAGAACTCTAACAACAACAGATGCTGGAGGGGATGTGGACAGAAAGGAACCTTAATTCATTGTTGGTGGGAATGTAAACTTGTTCAACCACTTTGGAAAGCAGTATGGAGGTTCCTCAAAAGACTCCACATAGAGCTCCCCTATGACCCAGCAATCCCACTTTTGGGCATTTACCCTAATGTTTACAAATAAATCTACTTTGTGTTATGAATGTATGCTAATTCCAAAAAATAAATTAAAAAATGGATTTGTTAAATATTTTAATAAATTCTCTTTTGAAATTTCTCCTTTTGAAATTTCTCCTTCTACTCTCTACTAAAATGTTTTTAATCCCACAATTTCTGTTTCTCCTCCTAGCAGGCAATAACATGATTTTGAGTTATTTAACATTTGTGATTTTGTTTTGGCAGAGTGCAAGTTTGTATGCATAGTGAACCACCAGCCAACAGAAGTGGTGTGGAACCTTCTCTAACAATTCGGTGTATGTGATTTTTAGGATAATAGTGTTTGTAAAATACAATGAGTTCATTATGAAAGTTCATCTTAAACTTTAAAGAGGTGTAGTATCTTTAAATCAGTATGATATACTCACAAGGGACTACTGGAAAAAGTTGCCCATATGGAAACTAATTAAGGAATGAAAGATAATAAAGCATTTGTGATTTTAAAAATTACTGTTGTATCAAGACCCCAATTTTATGTTGTTTGGCTATACATAGATACCTTTAGAGTGCAGGGAAGAATAATTTACAGATAGGTAGATATAACAATGACAGAACTTTTTCCCAAAGTAATTCTCTAGTTTGTGCATCTGCTAGAATTCAATGAATTTAGAAAGCAGATACCATAAACTAAATCAATGTAAAAATTAAAAAAAATCATGACAGCTTCTGTTTCTGTGAAGCTATAACTGCAATCCTTTTAATATTCTTTAAAGCTACACTACAAGATTCTTAATCCAACATTTTGAATATACAAGGTCGATTTAATTTCTTTATTTTTTTCCAGGTAAGGAAATTAATATTTATAAGTTATGGCACTCACTCAAGGTCACAAGCCAGGTAAGAGAATTTAAAATCAAACTATGCAATCAGACTTAGTTCATTACTCTTGCTCTGTGCACTTTTTTCATTTACCTTTTCCTGCCTTTAACAATTTGCTCTTATATTTCATGTGAAATTAATTTCAATGATAATTTAGATAGGCTTCCAAGTAATTGCATGTGAAAATTAATTTATAAGGACTAGAAAAGCTCCATATATTAAAACGTTGTATAAGGACATATAAAGACTAGAGTCATTTCAAATTTTTTCTCTCTGAGATGAGCATGCATATTTAAATATCTAACCTGGGCAATTTAGCACTAGAATATTACATGATTAATATAGAGCCTAAAATATCGATGGCTGAATATAAGTTAGAAGGGTATGAATTGTTAATCACCTCCCTAAATAGGAGTTCGGGAGATAAATTAGAAAAGTGTCAGTCTCAAGTGTCCACTGGACCCAGCAAACAGAAGGAGCAGTTTTGAAAAATGAGATCAAAATGATATTTAATGTTGCTTCCAAAGTACTTCAACTTGATAGTCTTAAACTTGGGAGAAATATAATTTCATTTTTTTCCCCAAAGTGAAGTGACCTTTGACTTTGCAATTAAAAGCTCAAAAGAGCCTCTGCATATTTGCTTATAGGAAAGTAGTGTTGTGAAACAATTTTCTCCATCATCAAGGAGCTTACCTGTTTCCATTTTTCCATCCTGTGCAGCAGGCCCATCCGGAATCACGCTCTTCACCTGCAGAAACTCATCGGGCTCATCTCCACCAATGATGGTAAATCCAAACCCCATGTTGCTCTTTTTTAAGGTGGTGCTGAGAAATGTTCCCTTCAACTGGGATGCATCCCGGGTGAAGAGTGGTTTTTCTATGTCGGTCAAGGTAAGTTAAAAAAGAAAAAGTATGTTTAAGGCAAGTTCTCAACAAGAAAGCCAGCCATGGAGCAGCAATCCCAGGGGTAGAGGTGGGTATCTTATATAGTAATGCAAGCAGGGTGTGTCTGCAAAGAGGAATGAGGCTATTAGAACTTCCTATAAATACAGAGGTTGTCCCAGCATCTAAGGAAAGATTAAAGGATATTTGGTTTAGAGAATGATTTTTTGGGGGGGTGAGGGGGAAGACAGGTCAACATTCCAATTACTTAGCTTCTTGTCCTATAGGCTTACATGGTTCAGATAAAAAAACGAGCCCAAACCACCCAGATACTTCTTGTACCTTCCTCTCAAGAGACAGGTACAAGGAAATGACCACATGGTATGTGTAAATGACTGGTCCTTCACGGAACCTTGGAGACATAGAAATAGAAAACCAAAATAGCCATTGAAAATGGTTTCAAAGAGAACAATAGCCCAGCAGTTAAGCCGGAGGAAGTATTAGCAACAGAGCAGTATGTGACCATGTGCTCCAATGTCCAAATAATTTAGAAAGCATTTTACTTGGATGTGGGACTGAATTATACCCCTATATTGTGAGATGGTCTAAACATAACCAGAACAAACAAATCTATACCGGTCAAAGAGTGTTTAGTGTTTAGTGTTTGATCACAGATGTGTGATCAAAAGGTAGGCCAGTGTTTCTAGACACAATTGTGAATGTAAAGGTACTACGCTGGGTAACAATGTTGATACACGCAACTCTTATGCCTAAATAATCAGAATAGAACTTGAACCTACCCATACAGTTTGCTTTCTCAACTATGATCTATAATAAAGACATTTTTCTAATCTTATATTAAATGCTTTAAAAGTAATAATCAAACTAGGAAACTAAACTAGTCATTGTTTTAACGCTCATCTCAGAAAAGTATTGCATACAATACTTGGTTAAGCTGTTACATTTTGGGTGATTTATGATTTCTCTAGTAATCAAAATGGACTTGGCCACTGAATTACACCTTGGATCTGATAATTATGCCTTTTATTTCAATTAGGATGATATATACATACAGCCAAACATTGAGTCATTCTATTGTTATTTTACTCCTTTTATCTACTTAGATACCTTATATATCTTTATTACATGTAGCATTTCTTTAAAATATATATGATAGATATCCTAGCTAGTCTTTTCACCTACTTTTGTCAGAGGAATGGTACCTATAATCGGAGCCACGCTCCCCCAGAGACCTTTACATTCACGTTGCTGTGCACAGTGGTGTGAAGCGAGCCTTAGCCGCAGGCAAGTGGAGGCTCAGGTGCCAAAGCCTCATTTGTGCTTTTCCTGATAAGTAGAGGCCCACAGGGTGCGAAATGTTTATGCAGCTACTCATTCCACTACGTGGCTGGCAGGTGAAGATGCTGTCGACAAGCAGCCCTGGACATACCGAATGGCCATGGCCAACCCCCGTGGTGGCGCCGACAGTATGACAAGTCATTCACGCTGAGTGACCTCTCCGGGGCAGGGCGGGGACAGAAGGATTTGGGCCTAGGTAATGTCGATGAAGAGCTGTCTACTGTCACAAAGGAGAACAAACCTCATTCTTATGATTGGTCTTTAGAGGGCAAACCCACCCACCGCTCTAAATCTCTGCTGTCAATGGAACCACTGTCACAACCCATCCATCTCCAGCTAGCTGCACAGTCCTGTAGGTGCCGCCTGGGGCTCTCCCCTTGGTTGCTGTGGCTAGATGCATTCGTTTAGAAATAATGCAAACACTTCACTGAAGCTAATAGAAGGGTTTGTGGGAAGCACATCAAGTCTTCTAAGGGTGGCCCAGTTTTAGGCATATGTATATTTGGAAGCACAGACAGTTTTGTCAGGTAATGACCCCCTTGCTACTCCGCGCTGACATAGTACTGTACCTCGGAACCCCGGGGCCTGCAGAGGCTTTGCTCCAAGTTCCGGGTGGGGCATGTTATGCTGCTGTAGCTTCCGTTTTGCTTCCAGGACAGGGTTTTCAAACTGTGTTCTTCTGTTTATGTGGCTAGAAAAGAAAATTTCAAATTAGGAAAACAGTGGGACAAAATCATTGAGGAGCACATATCTACAGCTCAAGTAGAGTGAGTAATTAAGGTACACCTTAGCTAATCACCAGTAAATGCCTCACCCCACACCTGCTCAGGCTTCTGACTGGGCTGGCGTAGGTTCGATACTGTGACAAGTGCAGAGTTCTCAGCAAATCTGTTCTGTGTTACTTATTTACATTAGACGTAATTCAGCTACAGAAATCAGAATAGACACTTGTTTTCTGGTCTACTGGGTTTGTTTGAGATGAGTTAGACACCTTAAAAAGAAATAGTCAAAAAAATGAATTTATACTGATTTGTCAACAGGAAAAAAATAACAGTTAGCCAAAGTGCTGGTGGCTCACTCCTATTATCCTAGCTACTGAGGAGGCTAAGATCCAGAGAATCACAGATGGAGGCCAGCTGGACAGAAATGACTGCTAGACCCCATTTCAAAAAAAAATAATCATCAGAAAGCTTGGCTGGAAGCATGTCTCAAGTGGTGGAGCTTTAGCTATGTAACTATGAGATCCTAAGTTCAAACCCTAGTAATGGAAAATGAAATAGAATATCTATCTTCAAAGTCCTTAATCAAATAGGTAAATATGAGGTGAATTCACGGATAGTATAGCAAGCACTGTATATATTTATACAGTTTATAATCAGACCTGGATTGAAGAACAGGAGTCCAGGGAAAGATTCCCAGGGACACATCAGAAAGACAGAAAAGGTCCATGTAGGACGACTGATGCTGAAATCAATCTGAAGCAGAATGCTTACATTCTGTATAGTGAGATATCAACCCAGAACAGCTGGAGGCAACTGGAGGTATCAGAAAACTTAGCTATATATTTCTTCATATCAGGCTGCTTGAAATCCAGAGTTCTTTGTTGGGTCTTAGCGTAGGAAGCATCAATCTTGCCTGGTGACATCCACATCACTTTATCTAAGACATAAATACCCAGGAAGGGGTTGGTGTATAAATTGATTTTGGCTCCTGATACGAACAATATTATGCCATGAACCCATGAAGAGGAGAGAGGGGATAGAGGAACTGACAATCACAAAGCAAATCATTTAACTCTGTGCCAGTTACTATATATACTCTTCTTCCAGTAAGTTTCAGAATAACAGTCTTAGATACTAATTATTCCAATTTTAAAGGTGATGACACTGAGACACAAAGAGGCTGAATAAGTTGTTGTAAAGCATGCACATTGTAGATGGAAATTCTGGATCTAGCTATCATTTCAATTTCACCAATGGATTTCTTATTTATATACTTTCTCTTTGCAATGTATGATTTCACCTTGGCAAATACATACTTTTAACATGCACATAAGTTTTCCAGTTTCTTCATGGAAACCTAATGGCACCACTCTGTGTCAGAAGGGCTAGGGTTTGGAGCCTCTCTTTGCTTTTCCCTATTTAGTAAAATCCTCCATTATCTCTGTTACCTAAAGATATATTATTCCTGATTTTGCCTTTACTTTTTCTGTAGTGTCACCTTTGGCCTCATACCAATGAATGCCCTTATCTCTGAATACATTTGGAGTAGCTATGGTAAGTAACTCCCTATCAGAATTTGAATCTTTTCTTGATTCATTTGCTATTTGAATGGCATAATTGTTGAAGAAAGAGAGCTGGGTTTAAGGCAGCATCTTAGGAAATTTTCTGAATTCTCTAAGCATCAATCTCATGGCTAATAGACACATGAAGAAATGCTCAACCTACCTAGCCATAAAAGAAATGCAAATCAAAACAACACTGAGATACCACCTCATCCCAGTTAGAATGGCTATAAAGAAGAACTCTAATAACAACAGATGCAGGACCAAAAGAGAACCCTACTGCATTGTTGGTGGGAGTGTAAACTTATTCAACCACTTTAGAAAGCAGTATGGAGGTTCCTCAAAAGACTCCACATAGAGCTCCCCTATGACCCAGCAACCCCACTTTTGGGCATTTACCCGAATGATCTTTCCTAAAGTTTGAACCTTGAATGTCGTCCATGTATTAGAGGATTGGTTCTCAGCATGGTATTATTGGAAAGTGGAGGAACTGTTAAAGAGCGGGGCTTAGTGAGAACTTTTAGAACATTGGGGGATGCTCTCAAGGGTGACTGTGAGACATTGGTCTCCCTCCTTCCCTCCCTTCCTCCCTCCCTCCCTCCCTCCCTCCCTCCCTCCCTCCCTCTGCCTCTCGTCTCTGTCTCTGTCTCTGTCTCTCTCTCTCTCTTTCTCTCTCTCTTTGTTGTTCTTTCAGTTTCTGACCATGATACAAATGGTTTTTTTTTTTTAATGTCTGAAGTCTGAAAGCATGAACTTCCAAAGGCTCAAAATTGTGGAGCCAGTTGGTCTGAAACAACCATAACAGAGAGTAAATAAACCTTTTCTCTTTCTAAGTTGATTAACTCAGATATTTCATTAGAGTAATGTAAAACTGACAAGCACAGTCTTTGTCCATCAAGTGGGAAACATTAATATTTACTTCATGAGATTGCTGTAAGGAAAAGTGAAATGTTCACAAAGCATAGATACATGGGGAAACCCCTTAAACAATAAGGTATTGACATTATCTTTAAGGTATAGTTATTATTTATTATCATAATTATAAGCACTGATGCTGTTCCTATTACAATACGTTTTCTATCTGGCTCTCAGCTTCTTCTCTTTCTTGTCTCAGACACATTTTCAGCCTGCATTACATTGCTCTCACTGGTGCTCATTAAAATTTGAACAGACCCTATTTCAGTCTATTTAATTATTTTTCTATATTTCTTCATCATTAAGAGGATCCAAAGAATAACAATAAAAAGAAGTAAACAAAATTAGGATAAAGTTATATGCATCTATGGGAAAGTAAACACACAAAATGAATACAGGGTTCTATTTATATTCTAGGGTTACATTGCAAATTAGCTTAGAGTTTTCAAATTCTTTATTTAACAAGGGAGCAATAGTTATAATATTTACAATATTTAAGATAAACCCAGTAGGACAAAGTATTCCGTATGAGGTTTCTCGTTCCATTCCTTGGATAAAGGTTTCTAGAATGTAGAATTGCATGTTATAATTTTTTTTTTTTTGTCGGTCATGGTGCTTGAACTCTGGGCCTAGGTGCTGTCCCTCAGCTCTTCAGCTCAAGGTGAGCACTCTACCACTTGAGCCACAGCACCACTTCTGGTTTTTTAGTGATAAGAGTCTCATGGACTTTCCTGCCCAGGCTGGCTTTGAACCGTGGTCCTCAGATCTCAGCCTCCTGAGTAGCTAGGATTACAGGCATAAGCCACCAGTGCCAGGCATGTTATAATTTATAATAGCAAATTTCATGGGCTCTACCAACCTTGTCATAGTTTTTGTTTTTGTTCTGTTTTTGTTGGTCGTGAGGCCTGAACTCTGGGCCTGGGCACTGTCCCTCTGTTCCTCAGCTCAAGGCTAGTGCTCTCCCCCCTTGAGCCACAGAACCATTTCCAGCTTTGTTTGCTTACATGGTGCAGAAGAATTGAACTCAGGTCCTCATGCATGCAAGGCAAGCAAGCACTCTACAACTGAGCCACCTTCCCAGACCCCTTGTCATAGTTTTAATAAAAATGTTCATGTCTATTTCTTTCTCCAGATTAGCCATCCTATGTATAGGTCCATATATTATCCACCTTTGTATACTAAGGATCTAGCACAGTGAACAGAAATATTTTTGCTTTATAATTAAATGGTGAGCATGCACTAAAACTTGTTTTTAAATATTTGTCAGAGACTTCAAAAAACCAAGGTATATCTTTGAAATGTATTGAATTATCAGCTTTTCTTATTTCCTATTGGCTAGGTTACTGTTCATTATCTGCATAACTTCATCTCAAAAAGATATATAATAAGAATTTTCTGGAATAGACATATGTATAATAGGGTTCCTCCATCTCTCCACCTATAATGTTGCCTTTAGAAAAATCAATGATTAGCCCCTTGCTTTATGGTCACTGTGTTGAGAAGATTCTCCTTATCATCAAAGTGAGTATCTGGAGAATGAAAACTCCAAGGAACTAGTTTGCCCTGCCTTGAACCCTACCGAGAGTAGAAAAAGGATGTGTTTTGTTAACCTCTTCTGATCGCTATAGACCATTTCCCTTGATTGGTGCCAGTGGTTCATACTTGTAATCTTTGATATTTCAGAGGCTGATTTCTGAGGATCATAGTTGGAAGCCAGACAGGACAAAAATGTCCAATAGATACTATCTTTAATTAACCATAAAAATGCCAGATGGGAGGTGTGTCTTAAATGGTAGAACACGAGCCATGAACAAGACAGCCCAGTAAGAGCTTGCAGATCTGCAGTTTAAGCCCTACTACCAGTACACACATACACACACACACACACACACACACACACACACACACACACACACACACGCACGCACTTTGTCAGAAAGTCTTTTGTTTTAAAACCTAGAATAGTCAAAAGCTATAAAAAATTACTACAAAGAAATGTATGGTAATTGAATACAGAAGAGTTGTCTTCCTTATGTGTTCAGACTAAATAACTTCAAGGTTTATTGTGTGTGTGTGTGTGTGTGTGTGTGTGTGTGTGTGTGTGTGTGTGTGTGTGTGTGTGTGTACCAGTCCTGGTGCTTGACCTCAGGGCCTAGGCTCTGCCCTGAGCTTTTTGTGCTAAAAGCTAGCACTCTACCACTGGAGCTACAGCTCCACTTCCAGCTTACTGGAGGTTAATTACAGGCAAGAGTCTCATGGACTTTCCTGCTTGGGGCTGTTTTGAACCACCATCTTTAGATTTCAGCTACCTGAGTACTTAGGATTATAGGTATGAGCCACTAGTGACTAGTTTTCAAGTCTTTCCAGCAAGGATTTGAGAATCTAACCATGAGTGCAAAGGGAGTGAAAATTGTCATCCTCTTCCTCACTCTTTTGGGCCTCTGAGATAAATTCTAGCTGCTTCATTTAGCTTCCATACAAAACAAGGAACT